AAAAGGAAGTCCTTTTGACTTTCGCTAAGTTTTACGAAGTTCCGACCCTCAACTGTAAAAATCCTCACAAAACGAAACGACTAAAATAACGTCGCAATTTTTGGTCACCAAAACGATATCCCATTTTTTGTCCCAAAAACGTATCTAGCTTGCCCCGAGCCAGTTGGTCCGAGACCCTGCATTACTCAGTTTTTGAAATGTCAGCCACGGAAGCGAATGAGAAGGGTCAAAAATTTTATCTAGTAGAGCAGCAGTTGCTTCAAACTGCTGCACTAATAGTACTGTAGAGGTACGGTAGCATTGAGTAATGCAGATACTATTGAAACTAAAAGGTAAAACTATTGTTATATGATTACAAATAACCGCAAGAATACCGTATCTCACGAAAAAAGTCTGAACGAGCACTACTTGATACTATTTGATCTCATGCAAAACAGATACTGTAAAGGTACTGTATCGCAGGTTAAGCTATTCATAATTATCTGTTTTCATGTAATGTTATTATAATTCAGTTCTTTATTACAGCTTTTATCTAAAGGATATTTTCATTTTCTCAATGTAGTAGATTTAAAAAAATAAACGATTAGAACCAGATATCATAATGAGAATAGGTTAGCGGTGAGTTAAGGAGAAGGGGAAGATGGCATGAGAATAAAATAAAAAGAATCACTGGAGAAGCATGGTGCAGTCTGAGATATCGGAGAAGTTTGAGAACGGAGCATTACTGTGGGTACACTGTTTTGTTAAAAAGTATGAAAAGGAAGGTTTTCCATACTTCTTGACTACATTCCTAGCATAACCAGGACTTGCTTTTTTCATTTTGAACTTTAATTCGAATACTAATCTCTCACAAAAAAGCAATGATAGTCAAAGCTCGGCACGAGGTGGCTTTTGGAAAATGCAAAAAACGAATTCCCCCTTGACTTTCCCAAAATTTTACGAAGTCCTTTGACCTCAAACCATAATCCTAACAAATTTCCAAAAAAAGCGAAACGTCGACAAAAAACACGTCGCGCAAATTTTGTGTCTTCTCAGCCACAAAAACGAGACCCCCTTTGTTTTTCGTTCCAAAAACCATATTCAGCTTGCTTACCAAGACACCTATGCCGAGCCGTGATATTAGTCATATAATGAGCATACAATGACCAAAACATAATGCAGAAATGCAACAAAATTCGTACATTGTTTTTCGAAAAGGGATTAAACCAAGATCAGGTTTTCTTACTACATACATTACTGCTAGCATGGCATGCCGTTGAGGAAACGTGAACAAGATTTTTCCTGAAATTTATAGCTCTCAAAACGATTATCGAACATCTTACACTTTTCAGAACATAGTTCAGGTCCGTGTCAACTGTTGTAACAGAGACCGGCTAGCTTTGATTTGATCTGTGTCGTCGGCAATGCCGTAAAGAAGTGTCGTAAATGCGAAACGAGGCATCTGCTCGAAGCAACACATTAAGATTTCAGGATTCACAGAATGACGCGTGGTGCGTGCTGCCTGAGATATTATCCCTATCCAATTCTGATGGCTATAAATCTAGCTTCTACATAGCCATTCCCAATGGCTTCCATCTTTCCATCTAGCCAGAATGCTATAGATATGTGTGAGAAAAACTAAGAATGAGATTTTCACTTCTGACGCCAACGATTTTTAAACGCTATTTTAGAATCCAAGGTTTCAATAACATTTACATTGACGCAAGCACTCTATGAGCTTTCCATGACGACAGCAACTTCTCTAATAATATGTTAGGAAGTCGCACTAAGCTAATCCTTCTTACGATACTTCGCAATTCCAGCTATAGAACCTAACATTATACCAAAAGTACTCGCTTTGTGCGCGAGTTTCTTTCTGTTTGATTGTTCCGAGTTCTGGGATATTTTTAGATCCACTAGTGCACAATCGTAAGACTTTTTTAGAATTCCATTAATGTACGTAATTTTTTTTTCAGAAGTAAAAGGAATAGTAAATGAGAATTCCCTCAGCCTTGACGCAGTTTGCACTTGATATAATTTTTAGTTTTCAATGCTTCTGAATATCATAAATTAGACAAATCATGTGATAAACAATCAGTAGAGATAAATGCAAAATAAATGATTTAGTGTGTTTATATTAGGTCGTTTCAAAAGTAATTTCGCTTTTTTCAAACGGGCGCCACATTTGATGGAACAAAGGTTTCCAAGTGATCTTGGAAGCATTTGATGCAGCATTTCATTCTCTTTCTAATGGTCATGAAATTGTTGCAAATCAATCAATGAGCTTTCAGAAAATAACCAAAATCTGCGACCCATGCTTTTTGAGATGGTCAAGTTTCACGATTTTTTAAAACTTTCGTATCAATCCTCAAAAGGAGTTCAACTAAAGATTCGATAGAGTAAACCTTACAGAATACAATGCTACTTTTTTCTCTTTCTTGTAATTCGCCGTAATTTTTCAAAAGATTTTTTAACAGATACATCGAATTTTGGCAGGCCTACATTAGCCACAATCACATCAAACATCATAATTTCGAAATTTGAGACTACCAAGATGGTATTATGAGTTAGCATTAATTTTACAAAGCAAGCGAGGGCTTACGGGTTCGAAATATCAAATTTCGAGTTTTTCTGGCACAGCCTGGGGCTCGCCAAAAAAATGAGTTATGATGATTTCTCCCCGGAAACTAAACGAATCGGAAACAAAAAACACCTGTTAGAAAGAGGAGAAAATGCTGCATCGAATAGTGCGCGAGCTGCTCTTCTTTTGATGTTCTACGAGAATTTAGCTGCCTAGGTGTGGAAATCGGTAGCATCAGTTAAAATTCTGTTAAAAATGTATGACAAGCTATGGAAAGGAGAAAAAAAGTAGTTTTGCATACTGTAGGGTTTGCTCCATAAAGGCGTTACTTTAGCTCCTTCTGAGGATTGATACGAAAGTTTTAAAAAATCGTGAAACTTGACTATCTCAAAAAGCATGGGTCGCAGATTTTGGTTATTTTCTGAAAGCTCATTGATTGATTTGCAACAATTTCATGACCATTAGAAAGAGAATGAAATTCTGCATCGAATGCCTCCAAGATCTCTTAGAAACCATTGTTCCGTCACATGTGGTGCCCGTTTGAAAAAAGCGAAATTACTTTTGAAACGACCTAATACAAAAGCAAGGTAATCACAACTAGCTGAAAATCCAAAAATTAAGAATACTCGTGATTATGCCAAGGTCAGTAAAACACTCGAAAGCTTTTTACTCCAAAAACCGTATACAGTATACAGTATACCGTATAAAGTACTATACGGTATACATTACTACATATCTCTACCGTGAGCCACCACTTTTATGTTACTGATTTTCTGCTATTACGATAACCATTGACAAAGCCTCAGAAATGAAAAATTATTCCTTTTTGTCAAGTTTTCGAAGCGAAAGTCAAGATATAATACATAAACGCATCTAATATACATAGAATCGTTGGCTCAATTCAAAAACCTTCCAATATTGGGAAACCGCGCGGGTCTCGGAGCGAACGCCACCTTTAGACTACCGGCTCACTAGTAAGAAGAAGAGAAGCTTTTTGAATTAGCTTATTATACTACAAGTCTTTTTATTCAAAATACCCTGACTTTTGTAGCACGTAAATATTTTGAGTATTATTCGAGAAATATTTCATAATGTAATAAAAAACCTTATAGAAAGAAGCAAATATAAAACTTACAATAAAGTTGTATTTTACCATAATTACGTACTCAGAAAATGATATAACTACTTCAAGCGAAACATGAAATATTCATTATGAAGACTTCTATCAATAAAAAATCATAAAGAAAAAAATCGGGATAACTTGACCCCAAGATCAGAAGCACTTATTCATGCTCTGTTGCTGCTGCGCATTATATGGCCTCGTTCTCGCTTCGCGAACGCTTTATCGCGAACTCAAAAACATAACTCAATCTGTCATATTGAGGCTAGAGGGCTTGCCACAGACGAAAGTCCGAAAATAGGCGCTATGTCAAAACGCCAGAGTGCAACGATGTGAATCATTAGGCGTTCGACGTCGAATTAGGTGGACAGAAGGCGTCCTTAGTCATCTCTAGGAAACTATAGTAGTGAGAGAGCGATGTGCCAAAACGAGATTATACGGCTTATTGGCCGACGAGAGCGGCGCTGAGACGTGGAGAGAGCGGCAGTGGCAAAATGAGCGCTCGAGAAGAGCATTCAGAAGCCTAGGCAGATGAGTGCTTGCCTATTAAAAACTATACACATCCTTGAAGTCAAAACAGAGAGCGAGAAAACGTAATCTGCACAAAAATACATGGCATGAAAATGGAAAAACTGGAATAAATAATGTTAAGATGACAATAAGCATTTTCTGATCAAAAATATAACCGGGATTCGGAGGAATTGTGACGCTACATAGAATGGTTACGTAAATTACAACGGACAAAAAGAATCTGATGGTCTCAAAACGATTGCTTGAAATACTATGGCTGAAAATGGACAATGTTAACTTTGGATCGGTTAAGTATCATTCATTCTAGGACAACACATTGTCTAAACAAGCCTAATCGTGTATTTTAGCAGGTTTATACTTGTTATCTACCTTGTCCAGGTTTATTCACCTTTTGGAGACAGGGAAGAACAAACTCAGACTTGTCAAGAGAATGTCCTCAATGCGGTCTCGCGCCTCTTAGTCATAGAATAAATGATAAAATAAACTGTATCCGGGGAAAATGTTATCTGAATCGACCTAGGAGAACAACGATCCGAAACTCTAAGTTTTTTTTGAACTTTATGTGTCAATTTTGTTTCATTTTTTGACCAAAGTCCCATAAAAACCGTAGAACGAAAAAACTTACCGAAACTCTTGCCTTTTGTTGCACTAGTTTAGTTTCTTATATTATATTTTTTATATATTTTATATATAAGATATATTTATTTTATATAAAAGAACAAACTGTTTCCTGGAAAGAGTGATTTCTCTATTTTGACGGCATCATTTCAACAGTTAAAAATTATTTACAGTAATGTCATCCACCTTTATGGAAAACCATAAGAACGATTCTGCCCAAGCGTAAGTTCTGACACAGTTGCTGAATTTTTAGGCATGGTAAAAAAGATTTATAAACAAAAATACCTTGACTTCACCTCGCATCATCTATGTTGAAGGGTCCTTTCACATGAACAGCATGCAAATTTCTACAACTATGTAAGCAAAAGATGAAACAGGAAATACACTCAATGTGTTATTAGATTTTGAATTCAAATTCAATTAATCTACGCATTATTTTTTTCCTATAATAACTGCTCTATTTAAGAAAGTTTTCAGCTTGGAAAGCGTCAAGAATGAAATGTAAGTAGCAGATACTTACAATTAATTTGTACGTACATATCGTATTCCATAAAGTTCCTATATTTTTGGCATGAGTAGATCAAATTTTATAGCTGTTCTCATTAAGCAATTAGGTATAATTTTTAGATAATTTCTAATTTTTTTAACTTTTGTACGTTTTGAAAAAAAAAGAGCGGTTATTTTCAGTGCGAGAGTTAATAGTAAATGTGTCAAAGTATTTGTTGATTAATGATCAGATCTAAGCAAGATTTTGGTTTTTTAAGCTGAACTTTACGTAGTATTTTTAAATAATTTCGCAGAGCGCCCTACAGTAATGACTCTAAAGTATAACTGATCTAAATGTTTCAAAAATTAACTTTTCACGACAGAAAGGTTACCCACTGCATAATGTGCAGTCCAGAACAACTGAAGTTAGGGGACAGATGGCTATAATGGGCAGAACAACAGATTGTCCGTGTGCCCCGAACTGATGATGATGGATCAGCATGAGAACTGGTCCAATCAGCAATTTAGTGGAATAATTGCTACAAAATGTCTGTTTTCTGTAGCTCTATTTCTCATCATCCGGACAAAATTAAATCAGGTTTCGCAGTTTCAAAAAATAACAATTTAGCCATCATATGTCGAAATAATGGTTTTAACAAAAAAAAATAGGTCATCACTGCAATAATTATGGACCGCAAAAAACAAATCACAGACGGTTTGTGATTTTCTCGAACTAAGAAGCTTATATGTTTCCGCTTTTTCCCGTGCCTGTATAATGAAGTCCCTTCAGCTCAAAATGAATCAAGCAAGAGTTATTTGTAAAATGAAATAATGTTAAGATAATGTAAAAAATAATGTTGTAATAAAATAACGTTCCAAAATAATTTTGATGACTCCTACAAAAGACATATTTAAAGAGCCATAATCATGCTTAAGGTCAATTACCTCGTTTTCCTTTCCGTGGACATCAACTAGTGTTACAAAAGCCCGTTCTGAATTACATGAATAGATGAACAATCTTATGGTGCTATGAGCGGTTTGAAATCTTTGAGCGTTGAAAGACTCAGCGGAAACAAACTGAATATAAAATATTAGCAATGATAATAACTAGATAGGCGGTAGCAAAATGTTTCCTGAGAAAGGGTGTTCGAAAATTTTTTAATGGAGGGGGGGGGGGGGTGACGCTGAAGTGACTCCTACCTAAAATTCAGAAGTTTTCAAAAGCACCGGTTTTTTGACTATTTTAAACGTTCTGCTTATTTAGAAATAAATTCAACCAGCTAATGTTATACTATAAATTATAAATAAACACTCGTGAATTTTGCGTGACTCGCCCCCTTCCCTACCCCTCTGCTTCAGCTGATATCGATAAGCAGATAGAAACCAATATCAATATTAGCACAGACAATGAGGAATTATTAGCACTGATATGATAATGATTTGAATAATGCAGTATTACTTCGATAATAAATAATTTCCGCCGATTCTGCGGTTCCTCCAAATGCTGCAGACAAATTTTCGTATGGAAAAAAAACGAAATTATTTTTTAGCCAACGTTCACAATACAACATTGATAATTCTGGCGCACAGAAATTTGCGCCCCATCAATACAGAGTGCAAATCGTTCAAGACGCGAAGAAGGTCTGGGGCAAGTAACGCCCATGAAGCATCAAGGTTACAGGACCGCTTTTTACCCAAATGTCGTTGGTACGCGTGGTAATCGGCAACGATCCCGAATACATAGCATAAGAAGACGAGAGAGATATGGAAGCGTGACGAGGAGATTGAATAGGTAGATAGGAAGATTATATGTATAGGAAAGGAGCTTCACAATTAAGAAGATTATCGACTTGCAAAAAAAATCAATAGGTGGTGGCAGTGTTTCTTTTGCTAGCGTGAGATATTAGAGATAATCCATATAATGTTTCAAAAATATTTTTTTTGCATACGTAACAATGGAAGAATAATAAAAAAAATTTAGCTTCTCTTCGCGTCATATTGTTTAAAATGTAGTTGAAAATTGTAATGGAAAGCGGGACTTATTATTTCATCTGCAGTTTCTGCGCCATGGAAGAAGACTGTCTATCAAGAAAACCCAGGTTTGCTACTCATGAACGCTTCCTGAAACGGCCTTATTTTATAATTTGCGCAGTCATAAAAAAATTCTGCTTCTTTTGAAAAACCGAGAATAGCACGTGAAAACTTTCAAAAACTCATATTGTGCAAAATGAGTCATTTTCGAGCTTTTTAGCTTCATCATGTGTACAGTACTATAATATACTATTAGAAGAAAAACTTATAAATGGAGTTCCTCAAAAATAAGGTATAAACAGCAAATTTGTTTTTTTTTTGAATTTGAATTTGCAAATAATCTTTCTTCATAACTGGGAAAGTTCTCAAAAAGCGAAAAGCATTGTCAACTTTGTGCAAAGAACTTCTTTTGGACTTATGTTAGATGATATCCCTTAATCGTGGAGATATTCGGATAAAAGCAGACTTCACATACTTCAATAAGTAACATATTGACGTAAAAACTCATCTGGGAAAAATCCAAGAAGGAAATAATTGTAAAACACCTCCTTGACAGTCGATCGTGACATCGAAGTGTTTTTGTCGAGAATTTTATCGCGAACAGAAGGCAGATACTTGCAGCCATCGATTTCTGGTGCATGTTGTTGTCATTTTCTAAGACGCTGATAAGATTTATTTGCAGTAAATAAAGAGCTTAGCATGTGACTGCATATGAATCATTAAAAAAATCCTACAGGGTTTTTAGCATAAAAAATGAGCATTACAAACATTATTGACAAATTTTTTCCAAGCAAACAAAAAAATTATTGAACAAAAATCTAGCACTCCCTTTGCAGTGAAGGAGTTCTTGCGTTGTTTTTTTCAAGCACCTCATTCCTCATTCAAAGCAATGAGACGCACCCTTACTCTATTGTTTGTGCAGCTGCTCATTCAAACTGAAGCAGTGAAAAACATGCGAGGATAAACAACAGCAGCACATTATTTACGAAGAATTAACATAGTGAAACGCTTGAAATGTCAATATTTAGTCATTTTGGAAGAGGAATAGCCAGGGCTCGGCACGAGCTGGCACCAGAGAAATTTCAAAACGAAGTCCCGTTTGATATTGAAAATTTCGTACGAAGTCCCTTTTGACCTGTTTTGAAAACCCGTCATCATTTTTATATGTAAAAAAATGTAGTAGTGTTTTCATGCATTTCTGATTTCATGAAAGAGCTTTTCACAGCTTTCTGAGCTTTTTAAGTGGTCGAATCACATCTTGAGAAGCAGAAAAAGCCGATTTTTCGACGGCGGAGCGGAGCGAGTGGTTTTCAAATTGCTATAAAACGCTGGAAAGAGAACGTTATGAAACTGTTTCTTCTCCGTATGTAATCTTTTACAGTGTAGATACATTTTATGTAAGAAAGTATGAAAACTTATGTGAGCAAAGTGTCGGTGCCAGCTCAGCTGGCACCCAGCTGGCACGGTGCCAGCTAATTCAGAAAAAAGTTCGGCACAGCTTTCATTCACATAAGTTTTCATAAATTCTTGGCCCATAGTTCCGGTCCACCAACGCGCATGCACATACCAAATTTGGTGTCATACTATTGCGTTTTGGCTGAAAACAACGCCTTTGTTTGTTGATGGATAGCTTGCTAATGGCATGCCGGTGGCATGCCGGCGGCATTTTTGCGGCAGTTCTCCGCCTCGGCCCCCGTAGAAACGATATCCCCTTTGCTTTCCGCGCTAAAAACGATGTCCAGCTTGACCCGGTGCCAGCTGTGCTGAGCCCTGGGAATAGCTGTGAGTCAAGCGTACGCTTTGATGTGATGGGTGCTATGAAAATGTGATAACAGCTTTTTTCCGGGTTATCGTGGATACTCATTTGATCTCGTGGTTCGAGACTTTTATCTTACTTCAAGTTTCGTGTTTCAAATCTTTTGATAAGAATAACCACCGTTATCTTCTAAAATTCATAACAAAGCACTGGCTGCGATGGGATGAAGGGGGAAGTGAATAGAATATTTTTGTGTTCTTTTTGGTTTGACTTTATGAACCCTTTTGAGAAAAATTTCAACCATATCTCCGAAAAACTGGAGGTACTTACGAATATACATATAGCAGACGTTTGTTTTTCTAGCATAGTCATTTGATCAATGTTGTAAGAAGCTTGTACCAAATACGCAAGAAATCTTTGAAAATTCCTATCTGCTTTTATTTTCTTCCCCCCCCCCCCCCTACATCTCCCAATTTTCGCCCTTCGCTCATTTATAATCTTCAAACCCCTTTTCTACTAAATACAGATTTTCTAACAGATGCAGCGACATGTTTCTCGTCAGAATCTTTCGAAAAAATTAAAGTTGAGTGGAGTCAGGATTTCCAATGATGCGAAAAAAGTTTTGGTGTCTCCATAAGGGAAAAAAAGCTACAGTAACTAAGATTGGCGTAACATCCTATCATTTTCACCGAACTTACCAGATACTTCTACATGTTCTTAGATCTTCAGCGATTCCTTAAGTTTATGCTTTCTAAAAACCAGGGATAAGCAAGGAGAGGTGAGAAAGGTTGAATAAGGAAAATAACGAATGAGCAAACAAAGACGAGAAAGGAGGAATGAAAGGGGAGAGGAAAGATAAGGAGTCGGCAGTTTGAGCTTGTCTAGAACAACTTCAAATCGCTCTGTTGCTTCGAACGATGGCGAGCATCATTTGATCCTGCTATTCTATGACAGCAAACGTCAAAACATCCGTTAAATTCACAAGCAAAGTTTTGAAAGTTCATTGACGATACTGATTGCACGTAATTTCTTCTTTATCTTGAAATTTTACACAATATGCAGAAGAGAGAAGATAAATAGTCAGTCAGTGAATCAATGGAAGTTTCCCTTGATTTATCGCCAGCTGACTGCACTTTGCACCATCACACTATCAAATGGAACGTTCTTAGGGCGCTGAGTAGCCTTGAAAGCAACATCATTCACAGTTTCCTTATGAAAATGGCACAAAATGTGAATGTGATCGATTTGGGAAGGTTGATGTCTTGCTAAGAAATGGGGAATACGAACGGGGATTGACTTATGTGGGAATGTGAGGAAGTCAGCTGATTGCTAGGCTGACGGCGCTGAGCGCAGGACAATTATAGTGTTGCAGAGCGAAGAGGTCTGGAATTAGGGTTGAAGCGAACAGCGCCATTACTCGACCGGTCGGATGAAAATTCTGGATTAGTAGGGGATTCAAGACTTTAGCCAAGGTCAGGGCAAGTGCACGCCAAGTCTCTGAATATTCACTCAAAAATAGTAATTACAGTAATTAAAGTTCGAAGAGATGATTTTTATTCGAGCTCAACGTTGTTTTTAGATTGTAATTATATTTGGCTCATATTTTCTGGACTATATCTCCTTAAGCAAAACCGTTATGTTTTGGTCGTTTCCAAATTCATCCTACTGGACTGAACATCGTGATTTTTTCTAATACATTCATTTTTGTCCCTTCTTCAAGAAGTGCTATGCCTTTAGATGTATATCCATTCTCGTAGCACGTCTTATACAGTAAACAGTAAATAAAAATTACTAAATGCATTTTCAAGAGCTACCAAGGGGCCATTTTGCACGATCATGTTCTCAGGTTCTTCCTGGCAGGACCGCTGCTGAACAACATGCTGCAGGCATACTGTAACACAAAACGGCCACTTTTCTATTTCTAGCAGCAGAATGGGGAAAGGGGAAGAAGAATGACTTTTTTGTATTAAAGACAATTTTTTCCATAAACTATATAGCTTTGCTCGTCAAATAACTTGTAGGACAGATTTGTAACAATTTCTCGATTTATTTTTTCATAATGTAATACATGTTTTAAATCACTATATGCTGCTCTAAAAAAGTAAAAATAAGCAGAGTTACTTTTTTTGCATTTGCAGCAAAAAAAAGATTTATTACACTTCAAATTTACGCGGAAAAGTG